CTTTGGAAATTATCCTTGCAGAGAAAAAAAATTCGCAGTTATATTGTTATTCTTTTTTTTTTTCTTAGATTTGTTACAATTTTTTATTAATGATATTTGTTTTTAGGGAATCGATTATTTTGTACCAATTCGTCTGGCACCACCCGAAGAAATCCTTGGAGCAGATTTTGTTGAACACGACGTCCGCCACGAAGGTTATAACTAGGAAGTGATGATGACAGAATTGGAAAACCTGGGATTGAAACTCCGACATCCTCGAATCCACCCAGGAATCAGTGAGATGATCATCTAATCCTACAGTACATAGAAAAAGTTCTCAACAAAAATGACACCTCAACAGTGGACCACCCTTTGCCTGACATAACATCTTCCTATCTCGACTGGAGAACATTTCCTTATAAGGAGCGATCGGATGGATGCTATTTATCTTCAATTATTATCTGTTTGCCATAATTGAAATACTTGAATTTTACGAGAAAGGATAACAGACCTTATTATTTTCAATGATATTAGAAATATGTGAGTTCTTGAAAAGATTCAGAGGTGAGCCACGGAAAACTGGCAAATATGTCGTGGATATAGTAGTTTTTTTCAACCGGTCAAGTGCGTATAACGAGAATACACGTCTTATAGACGTTTAAAATAAAAAATTACCATGGAGTAGTATCAAAACTCGGCATTTCAATAAAACACAACTAAAAAATTATTGGGTGATGTGTTTCCTTTTAATTACTCGTTTAACTGTTACGTATTATGTATGGTGTGGGGGGGGGGTCGTGACCGGAAGTTAATAACATACGTGGTAAATACTAGCTATTTGCTCTAGGACAGGGGTGGCAACCTTTATGCACCAACGTGCCATTTTTCAAAAAATTTTTTAATGAGGTCATAGACGTGCCGTCAAATAATTATTGACTTGAGTGATTATTGGGAAAATAATAACACTAAATACTATCAACTCAACTCTTTATTTACTATGAAAAAAACACATTTTGCAATGTCTCAGTTTTACGCGTAATTCAACTTAAAGTAACANAATATTCCGTCGATACCCAACTGTTGAAAATTTATTTCTGTTTAAAAAACCGTGTGCACTCGCTAGGAAAACTAGAAGACAAAGCCAAAGAGAATCTTGGATTAAATAGAAATTTGGGCTAAAATAAAAAAAATATCTGGTCATTACAACCCTTTACTTATTATACATCTTGAAGTAAATGGAAATAAAATAACAGAAATTTAAAAAATAGCAAATACCTTAGCCGTAAACTTTTCCCGAGCCTCTAGTACAGAAAATTATTCTCAAACTTTCCAAAAATACAAAACTCAAACTGAAAAAAATATACTTAGACCCTCTGTTGAACCTCATAATGATTACAATTCTCCTCTGACAATAACTGAATTAAAATCTGATATTAATAAATGTAAAGAAACATCTCCAGGGCCTGACAAAATTCACAATAGTATGCTTAAGCACCTCTCTGATGCCCATTTGGAAATAATTTTAAAACTGTTTAATAGAGTTTGGTTGAATAGACAATTCCCATCAATATGGAGAAAATCATATATAGTTGCCATTCCTAAACCAGGTAAGGACCCTATTCATCCTACTAATTACCGACCAATCGCTCTTACTAGTTGTCTTTGCAAACTTTTAGAGAGAATAATAAACACAAGGTTAATATATTTATTGGAATCTCGTTGCATATTATCTAAGAGACAAAGCGGATTTCGCAAGTGTAATTCAACTATTGACAATCTAATGCTTTTAGTGATTGATATACGTTAAGCGTTTTTAAAAAGGCAACATCTTGTGACGATATTATTTGATATTGAGAAAGCGTATGATCGAACGTGGAGATACGGCATTTTAAGGGACCTTTTACATTATGACATTAATGGAAATATGTTTTATTTTATTCAAAACTTTTAAACAGACAGGACATTTCAAGTTAGAATGAATAACACTTTATCTGAAACTTTTAATCAAGAGGAAGGTGTTCCTCAAGGTAGTGTCATTAGTGTAACCTTATTTCTTATAAAAATAAACGATATTTTAACCATATTACCATCTACAGTGGACGGCAGGTTATTCGTTGATGATCCGCGGATCTCCTGTAAAGCATCTCATATGCACACTATCAAAAGACAATTGCAGCTCGCTATTAATAAATTATCCCAATGGACTGAGTTAAATGGTTTTATTTTTTTTACAACTAAGATAACGAGTATACACTTCTGTCGACGACGAGCTCCACCCCGATCCTGAACTGTATCTCAAAAGCTTCCGCATTCCCGTTTTAAGCGAAACAAAATTTCTTGGTTTCATCTTAGACTCTAAACTCACTTTTGCATCTCATATTAAGCACTTAAGAAAAACCTGTGGACTTAAAATTAAATTTACTTAAAGTTTTGACTGCTCTTAATTTCATTTTTGGAGAACAAGACATTTTTCTCTAAAAATGGTTATACTAAATGGTTAAATATTTAGTAGAGTAGTTATTATTATTTACTGTAATTTTGGAATCCAATTACAAATCTTAAGAGTATGCTGTGCAGCAGGAGAAATTCTTCATTGCAAATTCTCTTTCATCTACATAGTAGGGATGAGATTTTTTCGCTTTTTAGTGGATTTCCGTTTTTTTTTTTTCTTCGCTTTTTAGTGGATTTCCGTTTTTTTTCTCGCTTTGTTTGTAGAATTTTAACCTTTTTTTTAAAATCAAAAACTCAGATTCTCTAAAAGTTTAAGATATTTTTAATAAATATTTCGCTTTTACTGGAATTTAAGTTGTTGAAATAAAATAATTATATTTATTTCCGATTTTCAAAGATAAACAGAAAATTCGATCTGCACAGCTGCCAACCCTTCCGTATTTGTACTTATTTTACCTATTTTCTCTTAAATGCACAGAAAATAAGATTTTTTTGTATTTTTGCCTGCCCTGCAGATAGCTGGTATTTTCTTAATTCAGATGTCGCTGCTTCCTGTTTGCTGGCCCAAAGGCAAACAAAATAATAAAAAAAATATCGGTTTATTTGCAGTGAAAATATTTATTTGCTTATTCAATTAATTCAATTAATCTTGTAAATTTTTATTTATTATGGCTTAGAAAGTACAATACAAACAAGCCTTTAGAAATCCCAAGTCCAGAATCTACTAATATTTTGATTCTTTTTCACGTGATTTTAATATCAAACATCGATTTTTGTATTTACCTGATTTAAAAGTTCTATATTGGGACTCTTATTCATGCAATTTAAATATCGTACATTGCGATTCTTATTTATGAGATTTAAAAATCCAATAGCCCGATTTGTATTTACACGTTTTTAAAACCCTATTCAGTGATTCGTATTCACTCAAGTTTAAAATCCAATGTCGTTATTCGATCATGCGGTTGTAATGTCAAACATCGATTTTCGTATTTATACGTGATTTTAAAATTGGACGTTGGGATTCATATTCACGCGATCTAAAAATTACACACCGTGATTTGTATTTTCAGCATTATTTGTATGTGTGTATATATATATATATATTCATTCTTAGATTTCCTCATTTTTACTCTCGAACTACTCTCATCCCAGTACATAGGTAGTTTAAAGTGTATAGGAAAGTAGTATATCTAGTGTAGTTTCAAATCTTGAGAAAATGTTTTCAAAATGCGTGCAAATAAGGACAGGACCACTTCACCATTGTGTACTTTTATGTAATCCTTCTATAATTTGTTTGCATTTTGATATTTAAAAAAAAAAAATTTTTTTTTGGAGGTTTAAAACTTCATGGTTTATGATAGGTTTACCTTAACACATTCATTCAACCACGCAACCTTTCACTATTCATTCAACCACAATCTATTTCGTCCCCCGTCGGTCCATAGTGTATGAAAGCGCCGATCATTGGTAACCGTTAAACATTGCATCATTGGTAATAGTTAAAATATTTTTTTAATTCTCTATTTCATCTAATCTTCAAATTTCAATCATGCATTTGTTTCAAAATGGTTTTGATGCATTCAAAGCTATGCATTATAATAAAAAATTTTTTTAATAAGTTAGAGTTTCTAAAATAATGTTATAATATAATTTTAATATTAATTTAATTTTGATTATACATTTATAAAGTTTTTTTAATCATAAATTAAAGCTCTTATAGTGTATTTGAATAAAAATAAGGAAAATCTGATTTAAATCAAAATAATCCGATTTTTTTTTTTTAAATCAAAAAAATCACGAACCCTGCTTTTAAAAGTAAACACTGCCATGGAGGAAAAAACATTTGACACTTTTAGTTGGGGCTGGTATGAATGGTACAGAAAATTTGCTGATTTTAGTTATTGGTAAAACGAAAAATTTGTGTATTTCTAACCTTCAACCGTTTAAGAAGTTTTCCCATTTAATAAGTTATTTCTTTCCCTTGAAAAATTTTTTAAGCTGGTTCCACTGTAGTTAATTTCATGCATTTGTTTCAAAATGGTTTTGATTCATTCAAAGCTATGTATTATAAGGAAAAATTGTTTTAGGTAGTTAGAGCTTCTGAAATATTCTTGTAATATAGTTTTAATATTGATTTAATGAGTAAACATTTATAAAGTATGATTAAACATTTATAAAGTTTTTTTAGTTATGAATCAAAGTTCTTACAGTATATTTGAATAAAAATCAAAAAATCCGATTTTTTTTTTAAATTTTAAAAGAAAAAATTTTAAAAAAATCACGAGCCCTGAAATAAAACTTTCAAATTGAACTTAAAACTGCTGCAACTTTAGTAAAATTGCTTTTGCTTATTATGAAGGAGTAGAATTGGTGGATGGAAATTTCTTTCAAACTAAATTTTCAAGTTTTCAATCAATAATGCCTCAGCAAAATTACAGTATTTTGTGCACCAAACTTGTTAGTCATGTGCAAATGCTCAGTTCAAAAGTTTCTTTTCTTACAATACTGTCAATAATAATTTTTTTTTTAAAAATTTGTCTAAAAAAGGAAAAAAAACTTGTGTGGGTTTTCATAATATTCAAATACTTTTCGTTTCAGTGAGTTTTCAAAAGAAAGAGAAAAAGCAAAAGAGAGGGGTGACTTTCACAAACTTAGAGAAAAACAGCAAATTGAAGAAGATCTCAGAGGCTATTAGAATTGGATAACACAAGCTGGTATTTGAAACTTTATAACTATATGATTATGACTCTATATGAACTATATGACTCTTGGTTATCTAACGTTGAATTCAACTTACTTATTTATCCCAATGCCATCATTACTAAATTTAAATGTACATTTCACAAAATAAAATTATGAAATTTTTTAACTATTTAATGAAATGGTTCCTATACAGTCGAATTTTCTTCTTATAATTGAGTGCGAAGGAATGCTTTCTTTTTATAATAACTGCTCATAATAGTTTATACACTATCCAGACACCCGATTTTTATGGTGATGGTGGTGGGTGTTTCTCGTGGGTTGGCCTGTGTATGTTAGTTCCTGTGGTTGGGAAACATGAACTTTGAAATGGATGTGAACAATGCTGCAATCCCAACATTACAGCAATATTTCGACCCAATTCTCTTCCAGCAGGCTCCATTCACACATCGGGGCTTGCACATCCGTGGTTTGACGAAATGAGTTTTCAAAAACTGAACTGGTTTTCTCAGAGGCACTATCTAATTCTCTTTGTAAAGAATTAGTACACAGATTACATAGCAAGTTATATCGACCCTCCTCACTGCAAGCACTCACTTCAGCTATGATGGAAGTCAATTCCTATCAAAAACTGATGGAAAGTCTTCCCAGACATGTGTATTATATATAATATGTGCCTCAGGACGCTTTAAGTCCATACACTTGGGTGTCTGGATACTTTTGTCCAGATAGTGTTACCTACTTACTAAATTATAAATATAGTATTTAGTTTTTCTTTCTGTGTAAAAAAATAAGCCTTTCAACTGTTATAATTTCTCTTCCTTGTGTTGTTGTTTTTTGGATGAGACTCGTGGTCTGAAAAATATTGTTGTTTGCATTACTGCTTTTGGAAAAAGTTCCCACCCACAATTGCTGGATTTATGACTCATTTCTGTTGCCTTTGGAATCTTAAATGGATTTTTCTAAGAAAGGATTAGTTGAACTGAAGAGGTAGAAATTTTAGGAATCGCAAAAGTATTGCTTGTTAAAAGCAAGCACATTTTTCAGACTGGCAAATTCCTGCTCTATCATTCCACCATTAAAAAGAATTAAGCTAATTCGTTTTGAAAAGATAACAGAAACTGTCTTGAAACTCCTTGTTGTTTTAAACTTTATAACTACTTTAACTTTTAATTTAATTACTTTTTAAACTTTATAATTACTTTAAGTGCTTTATTTTTAAACAGAATACTTTCATTTTTACTCACAAAAATGATTTTTATTGGTTATTTGTGTTAAAACAGGGTGCATAGCCTTTTTAAAAAGTGCTTAAGGGTGCTTATTTTTGATTTACGTTTTTTAAAAGCCTTTACTTTAAAGGTGCTTTTCTTCATTAGGATTTTGTAAAAAGTGCTCAATTTTCTATCATTTCAAAATGGCGTTTTTTTCTTTGCTGTGTCCTCATAAATTTTTTTTTTAAATTACTTTATAAAATCTTTTGCTAAAAGTGTCAGGGGTGATTGTATTCTGGGTTTGTTGTATTATTCTTCCAGATCTTAAAAATTAGGAGTAGGCATATGATTTTTCTGGGGATGTCGTGGAATTCCGCGTTTCTCGTGACCATCGATTCTTGAACTTTCGCTAATCCAAAATTATAATCTGAGGAAATTTTCATGAATATCCTTAATCTAATATCAAACTTTGAAACCTTTGCTTATTCCAGCTAACAAGACACTTACATACGCGTGATTCTTCCGCCGATTGAGTCTTTTGCGGATTTTCATGTTTTTGAATATTTGAAACTGTGCTGGAATCTGCTATTATTGCAATCCCTACTCACATGGTTTGAAAAATCAAACATTGATTTTCGTATTTACCTAATTTAAAAGTTGCACGTTGAGATTCGTATTCATGTGATTTAAAAATCGTACATCGCGATTGGTATTCACGCAATTTGAAAACCTAATGTTGCGATATTAAAATCCAATGTCGAGATTCATGTTAGAGAGATTTTAAAAATCCAACTAAAAAATTTATTACTATGAAAGTGTGATTCTGCAGTGGTAGATAATTTAATTATAAATATTATTTAAAAAAAATTATGTTAAATACAAAACATGTTTGATAAGTTAAGTATCAAGTAATGCATTTACAATTAAAGAAATAGTTTATAACATTCCTAATGGGAGTCAATACTAGATGCCCTTTTGGCCTTGTTTACTATTGATCTAAGTATTTTGCTATAATTAGTTAGCAGTCCTTAATTAACTTTTTATGTAGGTAAATCAAATTACATGCTTAAGGTAATCTCAGATCCTGTTTTAGGATATTTTTCAAAAGTCCTTTTATTGTATGAAATTACATTTGCAAACAATATGGTATTTTTTTAATTGTTGATTTGCAATAGCTATTCACAACTTTTAAGTTTTGTTCATCTCAGTTAGGGTGGCACAAAATTTCTTTCTGAAAAAAATTCACAGTTTTTTTAATTTGAAAAATGTTTGAGATCTAAATTTTTTAGTATCTTAAAATTTGCTCCATCACTGCTTTTGTTTTGACTTTTAAAACAGCAAAAATTTAAATTATTCTTTTATAATGATTTTAATTTAGGTGGAAAAAAAAACCTGTGGCAGAATTTTTTTCGGGCTTTCTGCGACATGCCTCTCTATTACTAATATCTTTCTGCAAAATTCTTTTAAATATAAAAAATATACTTGTTAGTAACCGAAACGTCAACTTAAATAATTTTTTTTTCTTTAATCTAATATTGTGGCAGATATTCTCGCATTTTGTATGTGAAAAATACACTAATAATTTCCTTTTAAGCAATTTTGTTAATCATCATCACATTAAAAGAAAATAATAAAAAAGTTTTGAAATCCGTAGCAGTAACTATCGGGAAAAAACGATTGAAGGCGAAATCAAGTGAATCGGTTTCTTCGAAAAAGGGTTACTAAATGCATGTTTTCATTTCGAGATTCAGTTGCTATAATAAATAATATCAAATTAATAATATAGGATTTTAAAAACTATGTGAAATCTAAATTAATAACTAAATAAAAAAATTAATAGAAGGAAAATTTCTGCTGAGAAGAAAACATAAATTATTTACTTCCTAACAGAAAAATCTTTTTGCAAGAACTCAGTAATGTTCTGTGACAATGTCGCCACGATTCTGCCACAGGGGGAAAAAATATCACCCATTAGTATATTTTTAAAATATGTTACTGACAATACAATCTAGTTAATTCTTACCCGAAAGATTATGTATCTTATGAAACTGAAGCTTTACTTTGAGTTTAAATCATTTAAGCTAGTTTATTTTATTTTTCTTGACGGAAGATCTTCTAAAAATCAAAATCAGTTTTAAAATGCACATAATTAAAGATAGGTTGCTTTCATATTTCTTATATGGTTTTTATCCTATGTAATTATTTAGAATTAAAACTTACTACTTGTTCCACTTGACATTTTTTTTCTATTTATAATATGATATAAAACTTATTTAGCATTATTTTAGTTAGCATTATTTTTGTTTAGCATCATTTATGCACTGATTTTGCTCTAGATGTTGGAAAATTCTGTTGATTTCATAGTATTTTGTGTAATTAAAATTTTTTACTTATTTACTATGAACCATGATCTTATTTTTCATTTTGCATTTAATAAAATTGTTATTTTGTATAAATATTGGATCACCGAGTCACATAATTAGGAACCTGTCTGTATTTCCCATCAATTAGTTCATAATAACTTTTATCAAAAATATTTTTATCTCATCCATAACTTTAAATATTTCATTCTGAGTTTTTGTTCTTTCTGGCATGTAAACAAGTTTAATATTTCTAACCAGCAATCCTTGACTTTCATCCAAAAAAAAAAAGTTTCCCTTTTGTCTTAACAGAGCCTTCCAAGTCAAGGACACAAATTGTCAAGAAGGCACTCTTAATGGTGGCTCCATCATGATGTGGACTGCTTTTTCATGTCATGAACTGGGTCCTGTAATTCGATTGCACCACCCATAAATGACTAGAAAAGGTAATCAATTGCAGCCATTCGTGGACATCATGTACCTAAGCAACAATGAAGAAAAAAATAACATTAGTTTAAAAAATCCATAATTGAATATTAAAAGATTTATAGCAACAGATTTTCAAATGGTAAAAATGTAAATTTTAAATAACAAAAAAAAAAAAAAACAATTGCGTAAATAAACTTATTAATAATTATAACACACAATTACTCAATGACTTTATATAGAACTTAATTTCATTACTAGAATATCAATTGATTTTAATCAAATTTTTGAAGGAGTTTGTCCATTTGTTTTCTGGATAAATAAACAATGCTAAAAATCCCTTTAATTCCATTTACTTGATTGAAAATGATATTTAAATAAATGTTTTTGGACACATTAGAATTCCATGTAATTAGTTCATTTATACGTATTAAATTTAAAATCACTCCTTTTATCGTAGAAGTCAACATTACAGATATTCTTCTTTTTTAATACTTTATCTAAAAAACTAAAATTAATACAGGGTTCCCACTCTTTCAACAAAGCAAAAATTAAGCACTTTTGATGACTTTCTTTTTGAAAAAATTAAGTACTGTTCTGAAAAATTAAGGACTTTAAAAATAGTATGATTGTTTATCATCGAATATACCTTCCCAAAAAAAAATCTAAAAATACTAAAAAACAATTTTATGTCAAAAACATTATTATGTATAATGTAAGCATTGATATAATTGTTATAATTAACAGGGCTTGCCAAAGAATTACCGGGAAATTTTTGCAAAACCGGGTGGTTTTTTTTTTTTTTTTAAATTTCTAGATTGTTAAAAAATGTCATTCAGATTGTAAAAGTTAACATATGAAACTAATCTGCATTCCATTTTTAATGATTTCATTGAAATTGAATTGCAAAATTAAGTGCATAAATTAAGATTTGAAATTTTTTTTTTTATGTATATAAAAAAAAGAGTAAATAAAGAAATTTGTCTAAAACATTAAAAAAATTAATTCAACAAGTTTTTATATTTCACTACTACAAGGCGCATAGCCAAATTTTTCAACAAAAAAATATTACCTTTTAAGTACTTTTAAAGCGTTAAAAAATTATTTTTAAGCATGATATACATTGACAAAATGCAAAATAATTTTCAAAGACTTTACATGATCGTGATAAAATAACTAGTTTCTGACAAAAAAACTCTTTTTTTGATTATATTAGTCATTATAAAATGATCAAGAGATCTATTGGTTCTATAACAGAGGGTGGAAAATGAAGCCTTGTAATATATCATAAAGTAAGATTAATTCCTCAGAGTAAATATTCCTTAACGGAATTGTATAATTTCGAAAATTAAATGTATTAAATCAAAAATAATTCTAAAAACATATTTAATATTAAAAGTGCAAAAATAAGTTAGCTAGAAGTGACAAAAAAATTCGATGTATTCTATCAATTCGAACAAACTAAATGTTTTACATTGTCAAGATAATTATTAATTAGAATTTCCTAAAATTCAAAATTGCAATTATGTATATTTTTATAATTATAATAAGAATTTAAAAGAACATCTTTCAGTTTAGAAAGAGGAATGCTATAATAACAACATTATATACTAAATAAAAACTATATTTTTATACATTAAATAGAGTTACTACTGTAACTGCCAATACAATTTCTTACAGTTCAACTCGAATGTATTATATTATTTAAAAAAATTTGCACTTGCATATTAGAAATCTTTTCAAATCAAGCGCGAGCTCATAACGATAGGAGCAGTTTTTCTGCTTAATCTGTCTCGAGAAGGGACTAAATCTGTCTAGGGGACTAAAACCATTAAAAAAACTTCGTAGTAGCTTATAAAAAAGAAGGAAATGTAAAATTAGCTTTTCGTACACAAGTATTTGTTTACTCCCATACAAAGCACTTTTTCTCATGTTTTTATCTAACTCTCTATAATATATGAATTTCAAAAGAATAAAATAGCCTTCGCATATAAGTAAGCTACAAGCTGAAAATATTTCATCCCCGCAAGTGTTCTAAATAAAAGGAAACTTCAGCTCAGCTTATTTATATATTTTATTATATGTCTTACTACTATTTACGAAAATACAATTGAAATATTACATCGTTACAATTATCGTAAATTGATTTGAAATGATTAAATGCATGATTCAAAATTTTAAGTATAAATACTTGTAGAAAAGAAAACTTTTTACTTTTCAAAAGGAAGGTTTTTCTGCAGGAATTCTGTAACGTTCTGCTACCAGTTCGACACGTCGCTGCAATTTTGCCACTAGGAAAATGTTTATTGGTCGTTTTTAGGGGTTACCTCTATTGACTTCAAAATGTTAAAATATACATGATCTTCGCCCAGCGTTTTTAATTTTAGCTATTTTCATTTTCTTGGAGCGGAAAAGCCACTGGTTTTGGTATCGTGAAATCAGAATCAATGAATAACATTTAGTGTTTATAAGAATAATCCCTTCTGATATAATTATGAGTAAAAATAAATTTACCAATTATGATGATAGAACTATTTAAATGAAAGAAAAATTATGTTTTTGTTTAAGTTTTTTTATCAGATACAAATTAGTTAGCTTTAAAAGATGGGAAGAGGTTTGTTTGTTTGAGGTGCTTAGTTTTTTCTAAAAAGACCTAACTATGTATTATCTTTAAAGTTTCATAATTTGTTATAAAATTATTTTAAGTGTCAAGCATTACTTTACTGTAAGTTTGAGTAATATTTGACACTTTTAGTCAATAAATACTAATACAAATACTCCACTTTACTATTAGAGTTAATTTTAACAGTCGCAAATATAAAGTGTGAAACCTATGCCAATATCTTCAATAAGTTGAAAAAGGTTTTTATTATGTTCTTCAGAAAATCAGTAATGTTAATTTTCTAGTTGTAACTTTTATATTCAATTTAAGTATAGGAGAAATACAAAATAATCTCAATCTGAACTGTAACTTAAAAAGAAAATTGTAAGACTTATTCTCTTTTTTTTTATAACACTTTATGTAATTTATGAATGAAATACCAAGAAGAAAGTTCACCTAATTTCATCATGTTTTTTTCTCTTAATATTTTAGTAACAATGAATTATCTTAATTGAAAAGTATATTTTTTCTTAACTATCATCATTCATTACCAAGAGTGATATCTTCATAATGATAAAATTTTTGTCTCATGGTTTTAAATTTTTGAGATTAACTAAAAAGAAATAAATTACTATTATATTTTTACTGTTCATTGGTTTTATCCCTTTGTAGCTTGGTGAAATTTTTTTGTTTAAAGGGCATCACCAAGGATCTTTTCTAGTAAATGCTTCTATGGTTTTACATATATTAGTGCCAAAAACATTTCTTTAGATATATTTATTATTTCTTTAAAGCTTTTTTCTATATTTAAGAAAATAACAGACTATCTTCTAGAAAAAAATAGTTTAGTTTATGATAGTATTAAATATTTTTGCGATTTGATTTTTTATAAATATTGATATATTTATCTTATTATCGAAAGATTTTGCAAAGCTTGTATTTAATTTTATTTTAAATTATTTGGTGATTCATATTGTAAATTTTTTCTAGTACATTAATGGTGGAAGCTTGGAACAGCTTTTTCGGAAAAATAAGCATATTGAATTGTCATGGGAGACAAGAATTAAACTGCCATTAGATATAGCTCATGGCATATGTTACTTGCATTCCCGTGGTGTTTTTCGCCGAGTTCTTACTTCAAAGGTATGAAACATCTGTTATGATTTGACCTCATCTTTCTTTTCATTCTGTGTTTATTGTTGTGTTGCTGGCATCAGATTTGTTTGATTAGTTTTTTTATTTTATTTGCTTGTATTTTAGTGTGTGCACTGGTAAGAAATTACCAGCTATTAAAACTATTTTTACATCTCATAATTATGGAGAACTTTATGTGTATTGTAAGGATAATAACTGAATTTTTTTTTTAGAGTTTATCTTTTTTTCTATAATTTTACCTACTGGTTATGAGAACATGTTGGCTGTAAAATTATTAAATTATAATCAGCTATTTTTTTAAGTGTTATAAATTAAACAAAATAAAAATTTTAAATTTACCTAAAATAGTTTTTTAGTTTAAATTTGAGTCATGCTTAACATCGTGCACCAGCACGATCCCCCCCCCCCTTTTTTTTTTCCTTAAGGTTTTTTTAAAAAATTAATTAGACCTAAAATGCTTAAACAATATTTTTTTAGTAGATTTGATTTTTAATACTTGTGAATCTTAATTGAACTATGACATTTAACTCTTTGACACACAATTTTTATTAAACATATTTTTTATTATTTAATATTAATTTGGCTCAAAATGAATGAAAAATATTATATTTAGCACTTTAATAATTTATGGTTATGATATACAGCTATGTCTTTTCATGTGTTAAAGATTAAATCTTCCAAACACTGCTCAATTCCAAACAATAATTTTTCAAATTTGCACTTAATTGCAGTTATTTATATTTAAAAGGAAGTTATTTATCATTGAAATTTCTTTAATTTACAAAATCAATAATTGATCTATTTTAATGTGATTAAAAAGAAATTCAAACTACTTTCTTTGGATTTTTAAAGTCTGTCGTCTGGGAGAAAAATTATCTACAAATTTAAATTTTATGTATATTTTTTCCTTAAAACTCCTTTTTGGAAATAGTGTTTTTAAAATTAAAGCTCTTATTTTTCTTGTTTTTTTTTTCCATTTAACATTTTGTACTCAACATTTATTTTAACATTTTGTCCTTAAGAAAGTAATAAAAGTTTCAAAATTTAAAATAAATGTTGTGATTGTCCAGTTTTGTGTTACATATTGAATTTTTTAATTTTATTTAATGATTTTAGAATACAAAATGTTCCGTGTGTGATGGTTGCATCTTTCGAAGATTTTCTTTATATCTATGAACTGAACCTTGAAATGGGAAGAGATCGTATTTAAATAAAACAGCACAGGTAAAAAATATTTGCTTCTTAAAAATAATAATAATAAACATGAATTGTGTATTATTCTCTTCAGAGCTTAGAATTTTTTGGCTGGTAAAACTTCCCATAAAAACTGTGGTTGGTTAGATTTAAAGACATCAAAACTATCTCGAAATTTTTTTTTTCGTAGTTAGACTTTTTTTATACATATATTCGTCGTTGAACAATCTACCCGATTTTGGGTTTACGACTACTGCTAATGTTCAACTCCGTAGCCTTGTAATGTTGAAATAATCCAGAAGACAATGAAACTCCTGTATCAGTACTCCCAGAGGTATGATTTGTTATCGGAACATGGAGGACTTTGTGACTCGACAGATTTAACGTGCATCAGTCACCATTTACTACACCAGGAGTCTTCGGCCGGCGCAGATCGAACCCACGAACTCTTAGTGCTCCAGTGCCCTACCAACCAGGCTATCCCAGCCTCATAGTTAGACTTTGTAAAAGTTAAGCATTACATAATTATTGAGTAGCAATAAACTGTAACTCAAAATTAACTATGCATTATTTAAATTATTATTAAATGCTGATCGAAGTGTTTAAAAATAGTTAGGTTTTTCCTTTCTCATTTAGTTAGTCTAAAAACTAGACATTGCAAGGTAGTTTTGTGTTAAACAACTAAGACAATGGCATTTAATCAAGCTGTAATTTCTGGAGTTTTCTTTTTTAAGATATATTTATAAGAAATATCTGCTTTTACAAATGACTCAAAACTATTATGAGATTTAAGGATGAAGTTATTAGGGGTCTGTCTAGGTTTTTTTGAGAGGTACCTATTTTGTGAAAATTTAGATATAATTTGTGAAAATTAAAAGTTACATCAACACAAAAATATGGTAAAATAAGAAATTATTTTCAGAAATTGTCACTACAAATAAAAATCATCTATGACTAGTAAATTTCTATATATTTTTGTCCATGTATTAAAAAATAATTTCTCTATTGTTAAATTTCGGGCTTAAAATTGTTTCCAAATTTAAAAGTCCATTGTTCATAGTTAAATTTCAACTTGCATTTAACAGTACTAGAAATAAGTTATTTTTATTATGAGAAAATTTTCGACTAGGTCATACAGAAAAAAGTTTCACAGAGAAGAAAACGTTTCATACAAGAATAAAGATCTGTTAGAATAAATTTACAATAATGTTGAAGATAATATTCAAATGTTTAGAAAATGATTGAATTTTGTCTTTCTTTAAAGTTTATAGAGAGAGAATCTCGTTGCGTCATTTTAAAAAACTCTAGAATTTATAGTTTCCTTATGGGGATACAAAAACAAAATTTTAAGAGGTGGAGAATCTGTGAACTTACTTATTTTAAAGTATTTTGTTAAACTACCATTTTTTCAAAAATCGGTTTTGTGAAAGTACCGCTAAACGGTAGTAAATTTACCCTGAACAGACTACTGGTTATTCTTTGAGTTTGTGCAATTCATTTTCTATATACTCATGCATTTTAAAACTTTTTTAAATAAGCTTAAAATTTCAGGATTTCAATTGGTCTGTTAAGCAAATATTTTAAATTAAATGTGAGTGAAAAGTATAGTTAGATATTAATTTATTTAGTTTTTAAAATTTTTTGAGTGCAATAAGTGTTTTTGATGTTTAATCTATGACAATTCTAATGCTCATTCATACTAGTTGTGAAAGATTAAATTTTTTGTTATAAAATTGAATGCAACATGTTCATTATTTTATTTTATAATATGTTTAATTGTTTAGATTAATAAGTGGCTATTATTTTAAACTTTATTTTAAATCAGTTTTACTTGTAAAACCAGATTGTACTCGTTATGAACATTGGTTAATATGTTAAGCATAGGTATAGTTTGTCTATGATATGAACTCTGCCCACCACAAAGTCTGTGGCCATCTGCTGCTATGGAACCAAGAATAGTGCATTTCAGGGAGGGTAGCTTCTCTTCATTATAGGGCGAAGAAAAGGATTCCCTTTCTTTCGTCGTTTCTCGAGCCAAAAGCTGTTCTAAACAACGACCCCACTTGAAATAGTTATACTTCGTTACCCCATATAGATGGCAGCACTTTTTTAAAATTTTTACTAATTGAATGTTTTTCTGTGTTATTTTTTCAGGATTTTCAAAAAAGGGTCAGCACTTGACTTATTTCTAAAGTTTTCTTAATGATTTGGCAATTTATATTTTTCTTATATGTGGGCGTCTCTTTATTAGATCTTAGTCTGTGTACTTTTAAATCATTACTCAGACTTACGCTGTGAACTTTTAAATTGGGACTGTTTGTCATTAATTTTTCTTTGCATTTACATTTCAATTTTTTTAATTGCTTTTACTTAATTGATTTTCCATTAAGAGGCCTTGGGGACGCAGTCAGTTTTTGATTTCGCCACTGACAACTGAAAGGCTTCTGTGTGTTGGCTGGCAGTGTGTCCCCTGATGAAGTACTGTCCTGCTAACACGCATATCTTAGAATTTTTGTTGTTTTCTGCTAGAATAGTATTTCTGACTTTATAAATTAAAAGAAAACAAATTTGGATTCAGCTGCTTTAAGCGCTTTTTGATTATAATTTATTATTTTAAATATTACTTACTTATTTTGTCTTTTTCTGAATTTGTCAATTAGTTTTATTCTTTGATTACCATAGTCACCTCCACAGGCCCAGACAAATGGTTAGGGGAATTCTTACTTTAGACAAACTATATAAAGCAATGTTTTTGCGGTTAATGTAAGATGGTGGCTTTTAAGTGTCTAAGTGTTTAATATTTTGGTGTGACGCATGATAGAGTCGCACTATCTTATTTAATTTATGAGCTGAGGCATTCATTGATGTCTTGTGGCCAAAATGAGGCAGTGAGTGAGTCATTCATTAATGATAATTTTTTGAATAAAATTTTCTAAAAATTTTAAATTTTTTATCTATTTTTATTTAGCATATATTTTTGGAATAATTTCTAACATGGATAGACGGTTGGATAGTTGAATAAAGACCTATGTGGTTTAAACCAAACAGTTTTTTTTTTTAAAAAAACTATTTTATATAGTTAAATTTTATATTATTCATATAAATTCATTCAGTTTAATTGTAACAAAATGAAAAAAAGGATATTTTCTTCCAATTTTGAACTTAATTTCTAATGGGAATCTGTATTATTTCAAATAAATATAAAAAAAGTTTTAAACAAAATTATCTATCTAAACATTGTTGGCATTTCATCCCGGAAGAAACATACATCTGCTCACCTGGAAAGTCATGAAAATTCATGAATTTCGGTATTGAATCAAATTTGTCATGATTTTAATTATATTTTCAAAGAAATCATGGGAAGTCATGGATTTAGTTTGCTGAAAAATCTAATTTTTTTAATTGAATTCCTCCCCCTCTCCCAATTTCATGGTGTTCCAAATTTCTCTAAAAAAATGAAAGAACATCATTTCTAGAGCGAATTATCTTTTAAACTTCTGTGATTTCAGAAAATTTGTTTTTATTTATTTTATAAATTTAAAATTCTAGCTGAAGCAAGCCAGTCAATGGCGAATTTTTCTATTCTGAAATGAGAACAGAAAAATCAGGAATATCTTTCCTTTCAGATGAACAAGAAAAGTATCTTTAGAATATAATTTTGCTGGAGAAAGGGAAAAAAAATTATTTTATTTTTATTTTTTTCAGCTATTTTATTGCTTCAACTTTTTCTTTACTCTGTTTTTTAAATTTAAAATCTGTAAATATGAAGATGCAGAGTATAACAGTTTTGGTTATACCAATCATTTCAATTAATGTTATTACAATGCTTTTTTAAATTTATGGTTGTTTTTATCAAAGAAAATAGTAACTTCATTAAGTCATGAAAATTTCTTGGAATTAGTCATGGATTTGAAAATCTAAAATGTAGCAGATACGCTAAACATATTTCTTCCAGAACAGTGGAAGAAACTGAATAAAACAAA